CTGAGGTGGAGCACATGGAACTTGAATCACTCTGCCATAGGGCTGGCCTCTAGGATTTGTTTTTACATAATCTTTGGATACTCATCTTTTGTAGTGCGTTTCGCCTTTCACATTTTATGTCTTTAGTTAGTCCATTTGGCATTGACTTTAGTATATGATATGAGGTAGGGATTTGGTTTCCCGTTTTTCCCCGTATGATAACCAGTTGTCCCAGCACTATTTCTTTAAAAATCTATTTTCCAAGCTGTGGTACTATCTATGATAAACCAATTGACTATATATATATATATATATATATATATATGAATATGATTTCCTGGCACTCTTATTTTGTGTCATTAGTCTATTTCTTTGGTCTATTTGTCTATCCCTAAATGAGTATCACAGATTACTGTGGTCTTACAGTTAAGTGTTGATATCTGGTAGGACAAGTTCACCCACTGTGTGTTTTTTTTTAACTGAGATTTCTTACGGTTTGTGTAGGATAGGTTTTCTTAATTTCCAAACATTGGGCATTTTCTATGTAGAGTTTTGGGGGTTATTCCTTTCTAGAAATAACACGTGTTAGCAAGGTTTCGGAGAAATGGGAACCCTGTGCACAGCTGGTGGGAATGTAAATTGGTGCAGCCATTGTGAAAAACAGTGTGGAGGTTCCTCAAAAAATTAAAAATAGAACTACCATACAATCCAGCAATTCTACTTCTGGCTGTTTATCTGGAAAAAATTAAAAACTAACTTGAAAAGATAATATGCACCGCTATGTTCATTGCAGCGTTATTTACAATAGCCGAGATATGGAAACAACCTAAGTGCCCATTGATGGATGAATGGATAAAGATGTGTGTGTGTGTGTATACACACACACTATGGAGTATTACTCAGCCATAAAAAGAATGAAATTTTGCTATTTGCAAGAACATGGATGGACTTGGAGAGTGTTATGCTAAGTGAAATAATACAAAGACAAATACTGCATAAATTAGGTTCCTGGACCCAGTTTCCATGAGTATGTGTGGAGGGGGGAGGCTGGCTTCCCACACAACACCAAACAGTTCTGACACCAGCAAGGTGTCCTACAGTTCGAGTCAGTTCTAACGCTATCCACTTGAAGATAACTTCAGATCCCACAGGTTAAGAGTTCAGTCTGCAAGACTAACCTCCCACCCCCCACCCTCCGCCCACATACACCCTTCAAACACCAGCCAGTTGCAAGCCCAGGTTGTTACCTGTGCTTCTGAGCAACAGGCTACAGACTGGAGATTCCAGTGACCCCCTTCAACTCAGAATGCCAGTCTCAAGCCCAAGTTGTTACCTGTACTTCTAACTGACTGCCTCTAAATCAGAGGTTCCCACAACCCCCTCCTCTGGTTTGATTAATTTGCTAGAGTGTCTCACAGAACTCAGAGGAACATTTTACTCACTAGATCACCTGTTTATTATAAAAGGATGTAACTCAGAAACAGCTAGATGGAAGATATGTGTAGGGCAGGGTATGTGGAAAGGGCTCGGAGCTTCCGTGCTTTCTCTGAACATGCCACACCCTCCAAATCTCCATGTGTTCACCAACTCAGAAGCTCTCCGAACCCTGCCTTTTTGGGTTTTTATGGAGGCTTCATTACATAGGTGTGATTGATTAAATTGGTGATTCATGCAACCTCCAGCCCTTCTCTTTTAACCTAACAAAAGACACCTTCATCACTCTCAACACTTAGGAAATTCTAAGGGTTTTGGGAGCTGTGAGCCAGAAACCATGAATGAACACCAAATGTATATGAGAAATATATTTTGGTCATCTGAATGGCCAAATATATATTTTTCTTGCAAATCACATCATCACACCGTATGATGTCACTTATCTGTGGAATAAAAAAAAAACCCAAGCTCATAGATACAGAGAACAGATTGGTGGTTCCAGAGGTGGGGGATGATGAAAGATACAAACTTCCAGTTAGAAAATAAGTCATGGTGATATAATGTACAACATGGTGACTATAGTTAATAATACAATATTGCTTATTTGAAAGTTGCTAAGAGAATAGATCTTAAAGGTTCTGATCACAAGAAAAAAATTTTTTAACTGTGTAAGTGATGGGTATTAACTAGACCTATTGTGATGATCATTTCACAGTGTATACAAATATCAAATCATTATGTTGTACACCTGAGACTAATATAGTATGTCAGTTATACCTCAGTAAGATAAAAAATACTTACTACAAAGCTGCAGTAATTGAGACTGTGTAGTACTGGCATAAGATCATATGGATCAGTGGAACAGAATTGAGAGTCCAGAAATAAATGCGTATATTTATGGGCAATTGATTTCGACAAGAGTGTCAAGACAATTTAGTGGGTAAAGAATAGTCTTTTAACAAGCGGTGCCGGGACAATTGGATATCCACATGCAGAAGAATGAAAGTTTTACCCCTGCATCACAGCATATACAAAATGAACTCAAGATGGGTCAGAGATTTAAGCGTAAGCTAAAACTTTCAGACTCATGGAAGAGAACATAGATGTAGATCTTCCTGGTGTTGGATTAGGTAATAGTTTCTTAGATATGACACCTGAATCACAAGCAACCAAAAAAAATATATGTAATTGGACTTCATCAAATTAAAACTTTTGTGTATCAAAGGATTCTATCAAGAAAGTGAAAAGGCAACCAACAGGATTGGAGGAAATACTTGTAAACCATACATCTGACAAGAGTCTAATATCCAGGTAAAGGAACTGTTACAGCTCAGTAATAAAAAGAAAAGAACCAATTTAAAAAATGAGGACAGCATTAGAATAGACATTTCTCCAAAGGAAAGATGCTCAATGTAGTCATTAGTAAAATACAAATCAAAATTATGAGATACCACTTTGCACCCAAAAAGATGACTAAAATTTAAAAAGATAATAATGTTGACAGGGATGTAGAGAAATTGGAACGCTTGTACGTAGCTGGTGGGAATGTAGAAAGAGTGATGCAGCTGGTTTGGAAAACAATCTCTCAAAAGTTAAACTTAGAGTTACGATATGGTCCAGCAATTATGCTTCTAGGTATATCCAAGAGACTTGAAAACGTGTTCACATAAAAACTAATTCACGATTGTTCATAGCAGCATTATTCATGATAGCTAAAAAGTAGAAGCAACCCATTAAACAATTGATAGATAAACAAAATGTTATATATTCATACACTGGACTATATAGTATTCAGCCATTAAAAACAAGGTGTTACTGATACATGCTACAACGTTATTTGAACCTTCAAAGAACATTATGCTAAGTGAAGTAAACCAGTCACAAAAGGCCACATGTATGATTCCATTTATGTGAAACGTCCAGAATAGCCAAATCCATAAGGACAAAGTAGATTTGTAGTTGCTGGGGCCTGGAGGGAAGGGAGAATGGGGAAAGACTGCTAATGGGTATGGGGTGATGAAAATATTCTGGAATTAGATAGTGGTAATTGTTGTACACTCTGAATATGCTGAAAACCACTAAATTGTACACTATCAAGAGGTGAATTTTATGATCTAGGAATTATATAGGAATTATAAAATTGTTTTTAAAAAATCACTTTAATCTTAAAATATGTTGAGTGATGTACAATCTAAATATTTTAATGATTAAAATTTGCATTTTATTATAAAGCACTGCAGGCAACTGAGTGTAGTCTTAAATTCTCAGGTACTTTCTAGCATGTATCTTGTAATCTATAGTAAAATATAATTGTTATTGTGGGTTTTCTGAAGTGGTCATTTTAAGTAAAGTTTGATTATTATTTTTTGGCCCCAACGTTGATTTCATTACTATTATATTAATAAGCCAGCTTTGGATTGTCATGGGGGGTCTTGTCAACTTGTTAACAGGTTAGAGAATGCATTTTGGTCCTTGCTTGCAAGATTATATTTAATAGAGTGAGGGTTATTAAGTTGTGTAATGCTAGATTAGTGATGATTTAATATGTAGGGCAAACTGAAGTGAAGTGATACCTAGCATACCTCAACAGGTGATTGGCAATTTCTGCAGAATTGTGTATCAGTCTACCTCTTTCCTAAGGTGGCTCCCAACTGCCAAATATTGTATTAAAATATTTAGAAATTGGGAGAAAAAGAAGTAAAGTAAGGTAATTCATTATTTTTAAAATTAGAATTCTTAGTGTTAATAAAGGAAATTAAATGAGCTTTCTCTGTTTTTTCAAGTTTTTATCCCTCTTGAGACTTAATCTTTGGTAAGTTTTGAGCTTCCCAGAAAATAAAATTAAGTGCAATGTGTATTAGTCGGTTGTCACTGTGTGAGAAACTCCCCTAGAACTCAATGGCTTAAAACAGCAATGAATTATTCTTGCTTACACATCTCTAGAGCAGCTGTGGATTAGGTTTAGCTAGGCGGCTGTGGGTGCAGGTGGGCTTTCCTTCTCCCTGTGGGTTGTGCTTAGCACATCATTTGGGGTTTGGCTCATTTCTACTCTTTGTGTTTATTCTGGGGCCTAGACTGAAGGGGCAGCATCTACCTGGTGAAACTTCTCATGGTGATGGCAGAGCTATAAGAGGACAAGCCCAGCTGCACAAAGACAGTTCAAACCTCTGTGTGCATCCTTTCTGCTAATGTCCTGTTGGCCAAAGCAAGTCAGATGGCCAAGGCTATGGGGGCAGGGAAGTTGACTCTGCCCACCATGAGGCCAAAGTAAGGCATGTGGCCAAGCTCAGCATCAGATGGGAAGGAAAATATACTCCTTCCATGGAGGTCGGGATTGGAGTAGGAGGTAGTGGTTATTTTTGAAGAAAAACAAAATCTGCTATATGGTGCAAAAATGAGATAGTGATCATATTGCAGTTGTGTTATATTTTGCATGAAACAGTGAAAAATTGGAGCAAGGCCATTTACTTAGTCTAGCTTAGTCTCAGTTGTTTTAATATATCAGTTAATAAGACCATACTATTTTTGTATTCTCTTGTTTTTTTAATAGATTGTTTTACTTTAGCTATAGATTTTTTTTTTTAAAGATTAGTTCCCAAACACACAGGACGTTATTAGAAGCATCATTCATTGGGAGCATCATCAATCAACTTAAAGAAAAAAGTGATATGTGCTTTCCATTTTAGTAAGGTAAGTGGCTTATACTTTCATCATTTAGCGCCTTCCAAGATGATAGTCAGTGTGACAAACATACTTCGTATTTTCAGAGAAATTTAACATATTTAAATTTCTTGGCAAGGTTATATGTCTACTTAATAAAACATTTAAGTGGGTATCTAGTGAAGAGTAAGCTTTTTTCACACTGTCACTTGGTCCTGTAGTTCTGTTTCCCAGAAATCTCACTATTACTAGTTTCTTTTGTATCCTTCCATACCTATTGTGTGCATCAGCAAGCATATATTTCTATACATGTTCCTCCTCCCACTCTCTCTCCTTTCTCTCTTCACACAAAGGGAAGTACACCCTGTTCTGCACCTTGCTTTTTTTGGTTTAACAGTGTTTCTTGGTTGTAGGTCCATATCGGTTACTTATAGGTCTGTTTTTTGGATGGCTTTATTAAAGTGTAATTTATATACAGTAAATTGCACCCTCTTAAAATGTACAATTTGGTGGAGTTTGACAGATTTACAGACTCTTAGAGCCACCATCACAATCAAGATACAGAACATTTTCATCACCTCCAAAAGTCTCTCTCTCCCTCCACTCCTGACCCCAGGCAATGACTCATCTGCTTTCTTTTTATGTAGATTAGGTTGCCTTTTTTAGAATTTCAGAAAAAATGGAATTATGCATTATGTACTCTGTGTCTAGCTTTTTTCACTCAGCATAATGACTGAGTTTCATTCATATTGTTCCAAGTAGTTGTTCCTTTTGATTGCTGAGTAGTTTTCTATTATACTGATAGACCACATTTTGTTTATCCAGTTCCCCTGACTTTTGGGTTGTTTTGAGATTTTGGTTATTGTGCATAAAGCTGCACTGAAGATTTTTTTCCTCCCTTTTTGTCCCCAAAGTCCCCCAGTACACAGTTGTATATATATTATAGTTGTAGGTCCTTCTAGTTGTGGTACATGGGACGCCACTTCAGTGTGGCCTGATGAGCGATACCATGTCCGTGCCCAGCATTTGAACCAGTGAAACCCTGGGCCGCTAAAGTGGAGCGCACAAACTTAACCACTCGGCCACTGGGCCAGCCCCTGCATTGAAGATTTTTGAACAAGTTTTTATGTGGACATAGGTAGAATGGGTGTGGTTCTTGGCTAAAAAAATCTTTGTCTACCTCAGAGTCTCAAAAATTTTCACCTTTGTTTTCTTCTGGAGTTTTATAGTTTTACATTAATGTCTGTGATCAATCTCAGATTATTTTTGTGAGTTGTATGTAAAGGACTGATGTTCTTTTTTTTTTTTCCCAGTTGGATATCTAGTAATTCCAGCACCATGTTTTTCATTCTTTCTTTTCCCCATGGACTTGCTTTGGCACTTTTGCCAAAAATTAATTGACCATAAATGTATGCATCTATTTCTGGATTCTCTGTTCCGTTGATCTCTGTTCCGTTGATCTCTGTGTCTGTCCTACTGTCCAGATTATACTGTCTTGATTACTGTAACTTTATAGTAAATCTTGAAATTGGTTAGTGTCAGTATTGGAAATTTGTTCTTTTTTAAAAAAAGTCTTTGACTATTGTACACGGTTTTTGCCTTTCCACATAAGTTTTAAAATCAGGTTGTCAATTTCTATATAAAAAGCCTGGGGGAATTATGCCTGGAATTGAGTGGAATCTCAACTCTACTTTGATGTGATTGCGTGGTATTCTATTGCATAAATGTATCAACTATGTAACCAGCTTATAGTGATGGTTGTTTGTTGGGGATTGAATCTATTCATGCAGTGTTGCAGAGAATTTTGTATTTGCTGTATTTGTGTCTTTGTGCACTTGTGCAAGTATATCCATAATATTAAGTCCTGGAAATGGAATTGTTTGAAATTTAGCATTTATAATTTTGATAGATGTTGCTAAGTCGTCCTGCATAGACCTTGAATGGGAGAGTACCTATTACAAACCTTTGCCAAGACTGTGTTGTTAAACTTCTTGATCTTTGGCCAGTCTGATAGGTGGGAAAAATGGTGTTTTGTTCTCGTTTTAACTTATTTTATTCTTTATTATCACACCAGCCATCTGTGGTTTCTTTCTTGTGCACATGTTATGGTGATTAGCTCTTGCTATTTCTTGCCAGTATTTTTCCTCTAGTTTTTTCTCTCAAACTTAGCTTCTGAATTTTCTGACAGGGCTTGAAACCTTTTCCCACTCTGAAAATAAATATTAAAATTCTCCCACATTTTAATGTGTTCTTTTATGTTTCAATTTTTAATGGTTAAATTTTTCCTGGACATAAATCGCCTCACTCTTAAACCAAAATTACTCAGATGGTTACCCAGTTGTACTAACACCAATTGTTGAACAATCTTTTCTTCATTAATTTGAAATTAATGAAATTAATACTGTCTTTATCTTTACTAAATTCCCTCATGCTTTTGGGCCTATTTTTGGAGTCTCTGTGCTGTTCCATTAATCTGTGGTCTATCGATATGTTGGAGCTAAATTGTTAATTATTACAACGAAGTGTATTTTAATATCAGCAAGCACAAATCTACACCCCATTACTTTTTAAGTTGATTTGTGTATATGTGTGTTCTTGTAACTGGTATGTGATATTTTCTTCTATTATATATTACAGCTGATTATCCTTTATTTAAAGTTTTTGAATTTTTAATATTTTTACCTATCACCTTACTGAACTCATGTACACAATAATTTTCCTGTTGTCTTGAATTTTTTCCTGCAAATAATAATTTTCTGTCTTTCAATTTTTTGTTTATTATTTCTTTTGCTTGCTTAATTGTATCATCTCTGCAATGCTGTTAAAAAAAATACTTGCCGAATTTAATGGGAGTCTTCTTGTGTTACCACATGTAGCATGATGCTTTTTTGGTTTGTACACTCCAAAAGTTGACAATACTAAAAGAAAGATATATTTGAAAATATTCTCAGTCCTTCAGCTGCCAAGTCATTCCTTTTATTAAATAGGCAGGAGTAAAGAATTGAGTGGCTATATATCTGTATTATCAATAGAAGTTCTTTTTAAAAATTCTTTTTAATTGTCTAATTTATTCATATGAACTTCAGTAAAGACACATTATCTTTTCTTGTTTTCTTTTTTTTGCTTCTGACCTCCCTCTTTTCTCTCCTTCCTTTGTTTAACACATTCATTTTCTGGTGCATTTCTATAGAAGATATGTGGAAGGTAAATTTTTTGAAACTCTACCTGTCTGAAATATCCTCATTGTAGACTCACACTGAATTAGGCATTGAATTCTACTTTGGACATAATTTTCTTTCAGCATTTTGAAGGATTTTCCCATTATCTCTCTTCTGCTATTGCTATTGAGAGGTCTAATGTGATTCTGAGTCTTAATCTTCTGTATGTGTTCGAGAATTTTTCCCCCTCTAAAAGTTTGAGGGTCATCTTTTTGTTCTCATGATATGCTTCTTAAAATCTTTTTTTTCATCCATTGTGTTAGATGCTCTTGGCCCTTTTAATCTGGAAACTCAAGTCTGTTAGTTCTAGGAAAATTTCTTGAATTCTTGATTTTTTTCGGTGTTTTTTCTCTGTTTTCTAAAACTCAAATTAGTGGACTGTTGGACCTTCCTGGATGGTAAGAAAAACCCTTCGTCTCCTATTTGCCAGTTCAGTCTTTTTGTTCTAGCAGATCTTACCTTTATCTTCTAATGCTTCTATTGACTTTTTAATTTCTTTTATGTATTTTTAATTTTCATAAGTTCTTTTTTGTACTGTGAATGTTCTTGCATATTTGTTTCATGGATGAATTAGCTTATTTTTAATTTTTGTCTCCGCATAGTTTTTTTTCCAAACTATTTGTTTCCTGTTTTTTTCATTTTAAGGTTTTCCTCATGTATGTGGTGATGCTTGTTTATCTACTCATGGTTACCAGTGAGACATTAAAACTGATTGAAGCTAGGTGTGTTTGGATGGTGGGTGGGCTGGTAAGTCTTCTGATTGTAGGATGTGAATGAGTGTGAGTACGTGTGTGTGTGTGTGTGTGTGTGTGTGTAATTCATTAGTTTCCTTCCTAGAAGGCATAGGTTTAGCTGCTGTCCTCTAGGAATCTCTCAGTAGGCAAAGAGGACTTTGGGTGGAGGGAGTGGGTTTCAGCAGTCAGTATGTGTACTCCTATTTATTCGCTCTGTTGTCAGTATGATATTTCTTCCCTCACCTATGACTGTTGAACCCCCAGACACCAAAGACCTTTTGTTTTACTCCTTCCAGAGATTTATACCTCCAGTCTTCAGGAATGATGCAGGGGCAGACTTCTGGGTCCTAGTAGTTGGAGTGGCAATTTGGGAGTCTCTGTTTTTTTGAGTCCCATTTTCTTCCCCCTGTCCTATGGAGCCTGGTACTGCCAATTCCTGAGTCTTGGAGGATTCTGTGGTTTAAACAGAGTTGCTTCTCAGCTTTCCTCATTTCCTGTTTAGGGTTCAGGTTTCTTGTGTCTGGAGGTTAGTTATTTTTTGTCCTTCTTTGTGGCTTCCATACGTTTTATCATCTTCTCTTTTGTTCTTTGTTGTATTTATGGTTTTGTCTTAATCTGTTGTTTTTTTTAAGTAGGTTTTACATGAGAGAAGAGGTAAATGTGTGTTTAAATCTGCCTTTTTAACTGTGTCAGTGGTTTTCTATTTATATAGTTATTTTATGTCCACTGTTTTTCCTCAAAATGGGATTTCACTTTATCAGTTTAATCCGTTATATGTGCATATTATGGATTGTTTTTGTATTTTAAAAGTTGTTTCTACAACATAAAATGGATGCATACAATTCCATTGGATGCATGTATCATAGTTTACTTCACATTAGAAATGCTAAAATTAAAATGCTATGTATAAAGTGGGCTCTGAAGACTAATGATAGGACAGGGTAAAATTATAGAATGTTATATATGATATATGAGAGGTGATTCAATGATTACATCTTTCCTTTGTACATTTTAAACATTTTAAAATGCTTTTTCTTTTAGGTGCTGTGTAATGTGTTAAGAGGATATTATAAGGAATGGTTTTGTCAAATTTTCATGAGTTATGGTGGCTGAAAGATCAATTCTCTCACGTGGGAAAAGAATTGTAAGTAACCTCGAAGAATAAACTGATTTTCAACTATTCCATGCTTATATAAGACAAGTTATTGGTTATTTATAAGACTGTACTTGGGATACTTTATTCTGTTATCCTTAAGTTTGCAGACTAAATAACTCAAAAGCTAGTTTTTATATAAATCACAGTTATTTCTGTATAGTGTTAGCATTGCTATATTTCTTGAATTGTACAAAATTTCATTTTCTTTTTTTTTTCAGAAATGGCAGCACAAAAGAAAATCTATATTAATAGAGTATTTTATTAAACGAAAGAGGTTAGATAAGAACTTTAAACCAACAGGCTCAGCAAACAAAGGAAAAAACATTTTAGCTGTAAGACATGTTTCAAATGAATCAAAGTTCAGTAACTGTAGACTTCAGAAGAAAAAAGTTTTCAAAAACTTTGTCAAAACAGATAGGTCAGTGATAACTCCTTTAATAATAGGGCTGCGTCCGAAAACCAATATTAATTGAAAAATTAACAAAACAGATTGAATCTGTATTAAATTTTTTTAATGAAAAGTTCTAAAAACATCGAATTGGAGTTAAATTTTCCTTAAATTTGTATTACCTTGTCCAAAGTAAAACAAATATCTTTCAGCCTTCGTACCAGCTTTTCTCATGTCCTAGGGATAACAGAAACCTTACTTGAAGCAAACTAGTATTTTTGTTGAAAATGTATATCAGCATCAATGAAAGTTGATTTTTAAGATCTGCTCTTCAGTAATAATTCTAGACATTCAGCATTTGTACCCGCCAGGACACAAAAAGCCTCTCAAAAAACTACTCGGAAAAAGAGGACCCTACTCAGGAATGATGTCCATTCAGGAGAAATCAAAAGAAAATTCCTCCACTGTTATTAAAAAAAGTGAAGATAAGAATTTAGGAATACAAATTCAAGGTTCTCAAAGGAATCTAGCAAAAAAATCAGTCCCAAAGGAAGCTATAAAATCAGTGGTTAAATCTTCTAGTGGAAATAAAATAAATGAGCCTGAATTAGGAACATGCATGAGTACAAGGTCAGCAAAGGCAGCATCCTGTGATAAAAAAGGTGGTAAATCCATTAATAAAAATATGGTGACTGCAAAGGGACATTCACAACAAGAATCTACAAAACAGAAAAAATTGTCTCAGAAAAAGTCAGTGCATGAACCCCCTAAAGCAAATGAACAGCTTAACCGGAGATCACAAAGACTACAACAGTTAACAGAGGTTTCAACAATGTCTCTGCGTAGTAGAGAAATTCAGGGTCAAGTTCAAGTGGTTAAACAGAGTTTGCCACCAATAAGAAAAGAGCATTGTAGCAATACTCAAAGTAAATCTAATAAAGTTAAAACAAGTCAAAAACATGTGAAAAGAAAAATACTGGAAATGAAGTCTGACTCTAAAGAGGATGAAAATCCATTAATTAATGAGGTAATAAATTCCCCAAAAGGAAAAAAACGCAAGATAGAGCCTCAGACAGTTTATGCTTGTAGTTCTGAGTGCATAAAAGGATCTGGAAAGTGTCTTCAGAAGAATATTAGAAAAGAGGGGAAAAAATCTCTGACTGTAACTTCTTCTGAGATAAAAAGATCAAAATTGTCTCCTTCAGTGGTCTCCAAAAGGAATGAGAAGTCAATTCACACACAAGTGAATAGTAGTGCAAAATCCCAAAAAAGTCCACAGCCATTAGTGCCTGAACAAAGTGTCGATAATGAGCTGGAGCAAGCAGGAAAGAGCAAACGAGGTAGCATTCTTCAGCTCTGTGAAGAAATTGCTGGTGAAATTGAGTCAGATACTGTAGAGGTAAAAAAGGAATCCTCACAAATGGAAAGTGTAAAGGAGGAGAAGCCAGCAGAAATAAAATTGGAAGAGACTGATATTGCGAGACAAATACTTCATCAGAAGGAAACAAATCAGCACGTTCAATGTAATCGTTTCTTCCCCAGTAGAAAAACAAAGCCTGTGAAATGTATACTAAATGGAATGAACAGCTCAACTAAAAAGAACTCCAACTGGACTAAAATTAAACTCTCAAAATTTAACTCTGTGCAGCAAAATAAGTTGGACTCTCAAGTTTCCCCTAAATTGGGCTCATTACGAACCAGTTTTTCACTACCAGCATTAGAAATGCATCATCCTGTGACTCACAGTACATTTATAGGGACAAAACCACATGATGATAAAAATACAGCTTGCCAGCAGGAAGACATGAGAGAAATTAATTCTAGAGAAGTTAAAATTAATGATACTACAATTCAAATTAATAAAACCACAAAAAGGGCTCCTGAAAATTGTCATTTGGATAATCAGATAAAACCATGTCCCAACCCACCATTGGATAACCAGAGGAAAGATTCTTTTCAGTCAACACCAGATAAGGTAATCTATTTTCATTATGCACAGTAGAGATGTCTGAGTACTTTCTAATAAGAAGTAAATGTTTTACAACATATTTCAGCTTAAGAATTAAGTCATAAAATACTAGAGTCATTTGTTAGGGTATCCTATTCAGTTGTTAGCAAGGGCTTTATTAGCCCTATCTTGTAGTGGGTGTTAGAACTTGCTGACTCCTTTAAATGTCTCACATTTACATGAATACTTCTCATTGTTTCCTCATTTTCACTCTTCATTTTTATTTTATTTTAATTTTTTTGAGGAATATTAGCCCTCAGCTAACATCTGCTGCCAATCCTCCTCTTTTTGCTGAGGAAGATTGGCCCTGAGCCAACATCCATGCCCATCTTCCTCTACTTTATATGTGGGACGCCTGCCACAGCATGGCTTGCCAAACGGTGCCGTGTCCACACCCGGAATCCAAACTGGCAAACCCAGGGCCGCTGAAGCGGAACGTGGGAACTTAACTGCTGTGCCACTGGGCTGGCCCCTTCATTTTTATCTTATGTGAAGCATAAACCTGTTGAATTCTAGCTTTTCTTTTTCATTTAGCACATTAATTTGTTTCCTTTTTCTATTAATTGTAAGCATAGAAACTATGTTTCATAGTGACTAAAATGTAGAACTTAAAGTTGGCCCCAGTTCTGATCAAGTTGTTAAAATTAGTTTCAGCTAGTACAGATCAGCCCTTTTTTCCCTGTGTGATAAAATTTAAACATTAAACATTTCTAGTAGTGGAGATACCTTTTGGTTTGACTTGTGTGGCCAATTTGGATAGTTGACAAACGAAATGTCTGAAAGATGTAAATAATCCAGTCTTCAGTCTAAGAATAAAATTGTAGTGGCCAAGAATTTTTAAGATGGAAAAATAAAGCGGAAAACAGAATCTAATAGCTGGTAGAAACTTGAGTGATTATCTGAAGAAGTAGTTTTGAAACTCTGTAAGAGCAGCTTGAGCCCATTTCTCTCCAAATTAAATCATAGGTAGAATACCAATTTATAAAACCAAAATGCAGAAATTTTATATGTGTAGAACTCTGGAGCTCTATAATACAGATTTCAAAAACTCCACTAATTTGTTTCAGTTATTTAATTTTATAATCAGAAAACTGAGAGCAACAGAGGAATGTGATATAGGTCACATGTTTGGTGGCACAAATAGGATTAGAAGCCAGGTGTTCTGATTTTCAGCCATCATCCTTTCTACAGCAACATACTCTGAAGATTAGAAGATCATTTGAGAAAAAAATCATAAGTATAGAAAAAAGTCAAGTTACCCTAATGTTTTGGGAGTGATTTAAAGTTCTCTTTAGAGGCATTTTGGTCTGGGAGCAAATATGAGTGTGTGAGGAGTCTGTACTTTATTCCAGAAACCACAAAAATACATCATCATTGCCTATTCTCGTGGACTAAAAAATCAAAGTGAACTTAAAAGGAACAGATATCATATGGTACTCTTAAATTTTATTTTCTGTACAAACAGGAATGAAAGCATCAATCAGAAGATAATTATTCAAATAGTGATAGTTGGGGCCAGCCCATGGCCCAGTGGTTAAGTTTGCATGCTCTGCTTTGGCAGCCCAGGGTTCGCTGGTTCAGACCCCGGGCGTGGACTTACGCACCACTCATTAAGCCATGCTGTGGTGGCATCCCATATAGAAGAGCTAGAATGACTTGCAGCTAGGATATACAACTATGTGCTGGGGCTTTGGGACGAGGAAAAAAAAAAAGATTGGCAACAGATGTTGGCTCAGGGCCAATCTTTCTCCCTCCCCAAATTAGTGGTAGTAATTTGAAGTTAGTAGAGTGGTAGTATGAGTAGTAAGTGTGGCTGCTTGCAGAGGTGGGGTGGCTTTCTATTCAGGGTGTGTCTTTGTCAGCAAATTGATAGCTACATACCAGGTGTAGCAGGAGAGTGTATCTTTTAACTGCTTGATGCATAAATACTCGTCAGAACACAAAAGACTGTTTATGCAGAATATATTGCCGAGTAAGAAATGTAATGTATTCCTTTGGAATATACTCCACTACCATAGAAATGCTTACTTAGACCACATTATTTTGACCTTCCCTAGTGCTTTTACTGAAATGTGCTTTGGATTCATGCAGTCCCTCTGTCTTGAGGAACATTATGGGAACGGTCCTATGAAACTTGTGTTAAAAAGTTTAGGGGCCAGCCTGGTGGCGCAGTGGTTAAGTTCGCACATTCCACTTCGGTGGCCCAGGGTTTGCCGGTTTGGATCCCGGGTGCAGATGTGGCACCGCTTGGCAAGCCATGGTGTGGTTGGCCTCGCACATATAAAGTAGAGGAACATGGTCATGGATGTTAGTATAGGGCCAGTCTTCCTCAGCAAAAAGAGGAGGATTCGCAGCAGATGTTAGTTCAGGGCTAATCTTCCAAAAAAAAAAAAAAAATTTATTGGGCCAGCCCCATGACCTAGTTGTTAAGCTTGATGTGCTTGCTTCAGCGGCCTACGTTTGGTTCCCAGGCTCAGACCTACACCACTCATCAGCAGCCATGCCGTGGCTGTGACCCAGGTACAAAGTAGAGAAAGATTGGCATAGATGTTAAGCTCAGGGTAATCTTCCTCAGGCAAAAAAAAAAAAAATTTATTGACATTTGACAATTCTTGAATATTTCAGTCATTCAGAATACTACAGAGACCAACATTACACTCATGTCTGTCACCCAAATTTAACAAAAATCAACGTTTTATTGAATTCTGGTCTTTTAAAAGAAGAAAAGTACCTTACAGAGATAAAGACCATACCTCCCTCTTCTTTCCATTTGCTCTTTGCCCAGAATTAAATGTGCTCCTGAAGTTCGTGTGGATCTTTTCTGTTCATATTTTTATGATTTCACTGTTTATGTGTGTATATATATCCATAAAGAATACTTAGCACTGTTTGTTTTAAATGTTTACATAAATGCTGACATTGTGTGTGTGTGTATGTATTTTTGTTTCGTTTTTTGCAACTTGGTTTTGTGCAGTCAACATATTTCATACTTACTGATACATGGATATTTTAATAGCTGTAGAGGAATATACCACAATTTATGTTTACCTGTGTTAAAGCACTTTTAGGTTGTTTCCAGCCTTTTCTCCAATATCAACAATGTGATCATCATCAAAGAGTGATCAGGAAATGTGGGGATGACCATGTCAGTTCAAGACATTTGAGTGCCTGCTGCATCCCAGACACTGTGCTAAGGCTACAGAACATAATGTTTCCTGCCTTTAAGGAATTTACATTGCAGTAGTCCTTTAGAGATTTCTCTTCATCCCATAAACACTAAGAAGTGAGGTAGCTTAGTTCAATCATCATAATAGCTTTTGTTTAAATGAACACTGCCTCTTTGTTAGACAAAGGAGAGCTTCATATGTCACCGCATTCTGCAGTGTGAGTTCTGTTATTATCCACATATTACAGGTGAGGAGAGTGAGGCTTAGAGATTAAGTAACTGACCTGAGTGAAATTTAACTGATGGAGTCAGGATTTAAACTGAGATTGGCTGGCTTCAGAGTTTAGCTGTATTTATACTTGGGGAGGTAGGCGAATGTAAAAACAAACTTTACATCATTTGAAAACTTTCTGTGGCTGCCTGTGACTTTGCTCTTTTAATTATGATGAGCAGTACTGAGAAATGGTGATGCTTGATAAGGCTAAGCATCTTATAGGCTTTCTGTGAATTCTTTGGGCTGAATTTAAATTATTTCAACTTCATGAATTTTAAAGCTCAATTATTCTATAATTTATTTTTAAACCAGTAACTAACTTCTTTCCTATTAGTGGGGATTAGTTAGTAACATCATTATTTTTAATTTTTCTGCTTTTTAGTGACAATGTTCATTTAAGAAAAATGTTCAAAAATAATGTTACATGTTTGTTATAACAGTCACAATACAGATAGATATATACACACACACACACAGAAAGTTAATTGTTTCCTCTTCATTTCCGTTTCTCTGAGATAGCCAATGTTGACCGAGTTTGGAATCTTTTCTTTTGGTAGTTATTATGTCCTTTGACAAGGGTTCTGTTTTAGGGGCTCTTGGCAATACAGAGATAAATACGATATGGTCTTTGCTCTTTAGAGTTATAGAAGATGAGTCAAAAACGACGTTTAAAATAGGAAATGATAAGGGCATGAAAGAAATAGAGATGAACTATAGTCATGTGTTGCTTAGTGACGGGGACACATTCTGAGAAAGGTGTTGTTAGGTGATTTTGTAGTTTTGTAAACATCATGCAGTGTACTTAACAAACCTAGATGGTGTAGCCTACTACACGCCTAGGCTATGTGGTACTAATCTTATGGGACCACCGTCATATATGCAGTCCATCGTCATATATTCGTCCATCTCTGTGTATATGATCCATCGTTGACCAAAACTTTACGTGGGGCATGACTGTAGGTGGAGAATTATTCCAAATTTGGGGAGAGGGGATGGGAAAGCTTGTGGAAGACTTCATGGAAGAGGCTCGATATTTAAGTAATGAATTGTGTTTATACAGGGGTATGGTGTTTTTTAGATCATCACTATGCAGTGGAAGTGTAATATGAGCCACATATTCAAATTTTCTGGTAGCCACATTAAAAAAGAAACTGATAAGATTAGTACATTTTATTAAACCTGTCATATAAAAATACTGTTGTTTCAACATGTAATCAGTTTTTAAAATTGAGATATTTTACTTTTTTTGTACTGACTCTTCAAAATGCAGTATGTGTTATACATTTAGAACATAAATCAGTTAACTAGCCACATTTTAAGTCCTCAGTAGTCAGATGTGGCAGTGGCTACTCTGTTGGATGATGCAGGTTTCGATAGATGAAACTCAGAAAAATTATAGAGCCAAGTAAATATGGAATATATCTGTGGGAGACGTAAATTTTCCCATCTACCCTGAAGGGGAATAATAGGAGTTGATGCTGCGAGGGCAGCTTCTGGGGAGATCATGAAGAGGCTTTTATGGCATATCTATGTGAATTACTCCAAATATAAAGTATCTTAAATTTTCTTAGTATAATGCTAAAATTCACTGAAAGTGTATTTGGATAAGATCCAAAAGTGGATATAGAAACAAATATTAAAATTTTGAATTTAATATGTTCAGAATTACAGCCTGTGTTTGGAATCCAAGCTTGAAAACAATCCAGTGGAAAATACCACTACTGTATCAGCTCTGCTTAGTCAAGGAAAAATTGATTCTGGGGAGAGTAAATTTTCAGGTAATACTTTGAAAATATTATTTGGATTTCACCGTGTTCAGATATTTTTTTCAGAATGACAGGAAAATATATTGACTACCATATAGGCCTGTTAAATTCTTCTTAACCATTGTTTATGTTTTTCAAATGTGTGATTATCATCATTCTTTGAGGGTGACTTGCTTATGTTGATTGTCTTGTTTAACGTAATTAAGTATGATTCTTTGACTTCCTAACCCAAGTTCTTTTGTTTTAAATCTTTTGTTTGTGACTTAGTCTCCATAGAAGTGTTACTTAATGAATTGCTTACTTTAGTGGTTGCAGCTTATTTCTCAAGTATAAATGACTATTTGTGCTTTACCACTCCAAGTTCTTGTCTTTAACCCTCAGTTACCCAATTTTTCATCTTAGTGATTGTATCTTTGTCTTAAGGATTTTAATAAGTGCTGCAATTTCTCGTCTTATACCATACAAAATTTTTGTAACCTTGTGAAAAATTTTTGACAGTATATTATTTGCACTGTTAAATGGGGATTTGCTCACTTATATCAGATGAAGCACCAGGAGATACAGAAAAGAAATTCCTAATTCCTATTTTTCTCTCTGCTAAAGGAGAGGTATACTTGGAGCACAATATTGGGGTCAGATAATTGCTTTAATTGCATATCGTTTAACCTTTTCTCTTAGTGAGAGATAGGGAAGTATAATATGAATATGAGAAATGCATTGATTTATTAGAAAATAAAATGAGTTGATTATTGCATTATTTGATTATTAATGTGATTAAAACTCCAGAGACTACAATTTTTTTTAAAACAAAGAAATGTCTTCCGTTATTTCTATTTAGCGATTGTATAATTATGCAGGCATTTAACGATTTCCTTTATTGTTAGTGCTAGTAATTTTTGGTGAAACCAGAGGCAAACTTAATATACCATTAGATCTCTTTGTGGCTCTGTAGAGCCTTTCTGCCGCTTTTCTGAATAATAATATTTAGGAAGGGGCTCTAATTTTATCAAGTGATCTTTATTAAAAATAAAGCATTTAGTGTATTGTTTTTTTCCTCTGTATAATAATTTTCTACGATTAGGTGGAGAGCTAGTACAAAGCTTAGTACCTAACCCATCTTCTTGATTAAATTACAGGTCCAGCTCCCCAACAGCATAGTATACTCAATAACCAAACATTAAAGACCAGTGATAACAGGTAAGGTATTAGTTTAAGTGTAAGTATGAGACCTTAAGGATTTTATACCTGTAAGTTTTGAGTTTGGGGGATTTTTCCCTGAAAAGTTGTGCTAGTAATCTTCAAGTTTTTCATGTAGCGAGACGGTGATATTCGGAAATTCTTTTTTCTTTATACTTTTTTTCTGCCATGCATACTATTTTATAGCTTTTTTTTTTTTTTTAAACTTAGTGTATTATGTGTATTATGGGCATCTTTTCTACCTTCTTTTCCTCATTCTTTTAAATTTTACATTAGAGTTCATTGTGTGAATATTCCAATGTTTATTGAACAGTTCTCCACTTTGTAGACATTTTGGTTGTTTCTAGTTTATTTCTACCAAAAAAAACGTCCTGCAGTACACGTATCTTTGCTCATCTGTGTGACTGTATCTAGGATAAATTCATAGCTATGTGACTTAACCTACATTGCCAAATTTCCCTCCAAAGTGGTTGTATCTTTTTATACTCCCAGCAACAGTGTTTGAGAATGCTCCTTTCGCCAAACCCCTCGAAATACTGGGTATTATCAACATGGAAAAAGTCTTTTCAGTAGATTAAAAGCTTTTTGTTCTGTCTTTAACGTCAAATGAAATTAAATATGATTTATTTTGCTTCACTGATTACCAAAAACAGTATTTAGGACAAACTGTAGTGATTCAGGTGCTAAAACTTAAAATTTTCTCAAACTATAGTAGATGCTGCAGTTTCTTATTGTTTGAAAATTGCTTTTCTTGGGTTCCCCCCTTGGATTTTTTTTTTTAAGATTTTATTTTTCCTTTTTCTCCCCAAAGCCCCCGCAGTACATAGTTGTATATTTTTAGTTGTGGGTCCTTCCAGTTGTGGCATGTGGGATGCCGCCCCAGCATGGCCCGATGAGCGGCGCCATGTCTGCGCCCAGGATCTGAACCGGCAAAACCCTGGGCCACCCAAGCAGAGTGCGAGAACCCAACCACTCGGCCACAGGGCCGGCCCCCACCCCCAGCACCTTGGATTTTTAAAAGGTGGTTTTTCCCCCCTTGGAGTTGAAATTTGTCAGTGTTGTATAAAAAATAAAGTATTTTTTTTTTCCTTCCAGTGATTTGAAGTGATGTGGATCTATAACATTCAATTGTTTGTTCTCATTTTTAAAGGGAGACACCACCAAATCACTCTTGGCCTAAGTGTAATTCCCGTTTGGAGATAACAATTCCAAAGGACTTGAAACTAAAAGAAGCAGAGAAAGCTGATGAAAAACAGTTGATCATAGTAAGTATACAACTTGACCTTTTTGCTGAAGTGTTATATGCACCTTATTTATGCATTTTGTTAAAGAATAAATTCATTCCTTTCTTCCAAAGAGCCTTTTTTTGTCACCATAAATCTTTATTATAGAAATAATCTTGGTATCATTACAAATCCTGCCTCCCCCCCAAGTAGTGAGTCCATCCTGTAACAAATAATAAAAATTCAAATTTCCATACTTCTAGTTTTATTTACAGCAGATTTATACTTTATTTCACATTTGTTACTTTCTTAAATATGTCATTTGATTACTACCTTCTTTTAGTAGTTGTTTTAACTATTAACATGACATAGACCTTAATAGATAAAATAATTTTAAATACATATATTTCAGTATATGTTAATTTGAAACTATATTTTACTGAGAGATAAATGATAGTTAATTTGAAATAGAACATAAGTACTCTACAGTTTGGTGGCAAGGTGGGAAAGAGATTCGTTTTGCCGGTTGCATGAAAAGCCAATCATTGAGGGGTGGGGCTGGCCCCGTGGTGCAGCAGTTAAGTTCACATGTTCTGCTTCAGCGGCCCAGGGTCCACCGGTTCGGATTCTGGATGCAGGCATGGCACTGCTTGGCACGCCATGCTGTGGCAAGCATTCCACATATAAAGTAGAGGAAGATGGACACGGATGTTAGCTCAGAGCCAGTCCTCCTCAGCAAAAAGAGGAGGATTTGTGGCAGATGTTAGCTCAGGGCTAATCTTCCAAAAAAAAAGCCAATCCTTGAGGTGATGAGTTTGCAGCAGAGAAAGGGTTTATTCACAAGACAGCCAAGTGAGGAGATGGGAGAAAAAAATCTCATATCCACCTTCCCAAAAATGGGGACAAGGGATATTTATGGGGTAGGGGGGCAGAGTGGTCTGAAGTGTGGGGATAGGTGGTTGGAGGTAAAGGAGGAGTGAAGTAATTGGTGATCTGTGCAAGCATAGTCAGGCTTCACAGCTCTTCATAGGACACATGTTCTCAAAATGGAGGCTGTGACATGATCTGAGGGTGGAGTTTTTGGCTCCCTGACATCAGGAGCTCACCTATCAGACACCTGCACGGGTACGCAGTTGGTGAGTTGGTGTTCTTGAACCAGCCTGAACTGGACAGGGGGTCAACTCCTAGTTCCCGACAAACAACTCAAGCATCTGTTACCATGATGACTAGGGGCCAGGGAAATGTTATCAGTAGGGTGGGTTTTAGTAATGCATTTTATAACTACTTTTGCAAACAGACAACTAACTGAGTATAGGTAAAGCAAGTTGGTCCCTGGTTTCAAAGAGAGGGAGATATTTTGTTTGATTAGAAATCTAGTTTGAATGAGTGAGCACAGTATAAAAAAAAAAAGGAAATAATAGAGATGTTTAATGTACTTCCAGTTGACATAATCAGTAGGAGTTTTTGAGACTGGATGATTGATTCTAACTTTAATATGGGAGAACAGCTTTGTAAGAATTGTCTAGAAAGTTTTGAGAAGGTTTATAGTGAGGGAAAAATTTCTTTCATTAAATTTAATGATATTTTTGTTGTCAAATCAGTATGATAGTGAAACAGGATTTGACTAATAGAGTCCAGAACTGCAGTGTCCAATATGGTTGCCACACTTGGCTGTTGGGCACCTGACATGTAGGTTGTCAGAATTGAGAGATGCTGTCAGTGTAAATATATATACTGCATTTCAAAGACTAGTACAAACAAAGAATACAAAGTATGTCAGTAATAGTTTTTTTTATATTTAATGCATGTTGAAATTATAATATTTGGGATATGTTTTGTTAAATACATTATTGAAGTTAATCTCACCTGTTTGTGCATTCTTTAACATGGTACTAGAAAATTTAAAATTAGACTTGTGGATCACATTTCTATTGGATTGTGCTGATCAAGAATTGATGATGATGATGTTAATGATCATGACAGTAGCTAATACTTTTTGAATGCATTGTCTCATGTACGCCATTCATATTAACTAAGTTAAGCCTTATAGAAAAAGTATGAGATAGTACTACTATTATTTCCCATTTACCAATGAGGAAACTGAGGCAGAAATGTTTACTCATTACTAGGAAAGCTTTCTGTTTGAAGAGAGATTTGTACACCTATGTTCATTATTCACAATAGCTAAAATGTGGAAGCAACCAAAATGTCTGTTGATGGATGAATGGATAAACAAAGTGTGGTGTATATATACAATGGAATATTATTCACCCTTAAAAAAGGAAGGAAATTCTGACACATGCTACAACATGGTTGACCCTTGATGACATTATGCTAAGTGAAATAAACCAGTTACAAAAAGACAAATATTGTATGATTCCACTTATGTGAGATACCTAAGTGGTCCAATTCATAGAGACAGAAAATGGAATGGTGATTTCCAGGAGCTGGGAATGTATTGGGGAATAGGGAACTGTTGTTTAATGGATATATAGTTTCAGTTTTGCAAAATGAAAAGAATTTTGGAGATTGGTTGCGCAATAGTGTGAATGTACTTAACACTACTGAACTGTACACTTAAAAATGGTTAAGATGGTAAATATTATGTTGCATCTTGCCACAATTACAAATTACTTTTTAAACTCCCTGAAATAAATTTTAGGTAACATTTTGTCAATACTTTGAAACTTTTAGAATGAACTTCCCTTTAGTTTTATATGTAATCTTTTATTTACCATTTGATTTCTCTTTGCTATGTTTAACTCTGATTCTAAGGCACTAGAGATATTATTATCTTAGATCCTATTTTTTCCAGTAAGTAGTTGAAACTGCACAGTTTTAGAGCAGAAAGAGTAAAGGGATTATGCTTTTTTAGTTTATTATTCTTAAAGTTAGATCATATTGCTGTAGTTTTCTTGTGAAATAAGGACAAGAATAGAAAATATTTTGTAAACCAATATTATTCTATAGCACGAGTATGATTTACTGGAGTATAGGTGATTGTAGCCAGTCTTTTGTACTTATTTGATATAAAGATAATAGAAAAAATTAACTTTATCTTTTCTCAAGAGTTTAGTGACATCAAAATATTTTTAATATCTATACTAGAACAAAACCATTTAAAGAGAACAGACTTTTAAGGCATTAAAAAAAGCATGTAAAACACTATTTCCTCTAAACTTTAGAAGTATAAATATTATAGATATAAAATATGTATTAGTTTTCATTTATAGAATATTTGCTATTTGGGGCTTTAGGACTAAGATTGTAATGTTAAAGATATTTCTCAGTTCCTTTCAGTCGTTATTAAATGCTATGAAGCGAGTGATCAGATTACTAAAACGGAAATAGTGCTCAATAAAATTACACACAGATTTCAGTGATTAACATCTTAGTTTTGGTGATCAACCTTGAATGTTATTTATTATAGATTAAACCCTTCTCACTTTATGTTCACATTATAGCTTTAGAGGCTGATATTTTGGAATTACTTCTTTGAGAGGGAAAAAACGCTTTTGTTGTTTTTTATAAATAGGATGCAGGACAGAAAAGATTTGGAGCAGTTTCCTGTAACGTTTGTGGCATGCTTTACACAGCTTCAAATCCAGAAGATGAAACACAGCATCTGCTCTTCCACAACCAGTTTATAAGCGCTGTAAAATATGTGGTAAGTGGAATTCATGGCTTCTAAAATGTAGAATCAGATACTTAGGTCAGGATCTTAAAGAGATGAATTGCCAAATTTGTCATTGAAAAATTTTTGTTTTTAGAAAATGAATATATACAAAGTCCTTGTAGTATATATACTGGCTTATTTTAGAACAAAGCCAAACATAAAAACCAGCTAATTTATTCTGACTGGTTCATGTTGTGGGATTTTTTAAGTTATATTTTTAAAATAGTTATTGTATCTCTCCTTTTCTAACAAGTAATGCTATTCAACTTGACTATTTTTAAAATTTCCTTTGATTTTAATAATTATTAATTGTTGACAAGCCTGTTCAATATTCATATAGTTTGGCACAACTTTTTATTTGGGGATTGATAGTGATAGGTATATTATACCAAATAGATGGTTTTGGGATTTCCTTTACTTTCTCTTTGCTTTCGTGAGAGTTTTCTTTATAAAATTAAAAAAGAAAGATTCTTGAAGCTTAAGACCTGGGAAATTATAGTATGCTAAAAAAAAAAATCCCACAAAGTAAATATGTTTTAGTATATATTTTTTAACGTCTGTGCATTTGAGACAATGAGTATATATTTAATATTTGTTTCTGCAAATAGCAAAATTTTAAATAATTCTGAGCCATTTCAGATATCTTGTGAAAATAGTAATTTAATGTAATTACTGTTTACCCATATCTGAAATGGAATCTATTTTTATTCTATACATGTTACCTTCAGTACTGTACACTCACATTAATAAGACCTCCAGGATATCTGAACTGAGATCACCAATTCATTTCATATAGGCTTTTACCTAGGCATCAGATGTTGGATTATTTAAAGATCTTTATTGGCTTCAGTTAAATTGGTATCCTTCCCTTTGATTGAAGGTGTTGTATTCCTTATTTCATTTATCCAGTTACTTCTACTCAAGATAGCTGGGGTTGCCTTTTTTTGGTTCCCTACTGTGATGATCCTTTATATTCCTTATTTCATCTGGCTTTTCCACACACACTCCCTCCTTCCACTTAACTAAATAAAATATAAGATGTGTGGACATAAAATATCTATAGCTTTGTATTTATCGTTTGAAATTTGTACTTTTCCAATTTGACTATATTAATATCCTTACAACTTGAGAAGAAAAGTAGTTCTATCAGGTAGCTAAATTATAGAATACTTTTGGGGCAGAAATATTTCAGGTTATTTTATATACATGAATCCGGTAGATGTTAGTTTAAGTGAGTTTTTGCTCAGATTCCATCATTTGATTTTTGGGATCAGTTTCCTAAAATTATAAGGAGATTAGGTTTAAAAGGCTTAATTCTTTATCTTAAGGGAAGTTCTTAGTTTCTGAGAGAAACAGTAACAATTAGGAAATATGTATTCTGCTCTTCCACAGTACCAAGGGAAGTTGGTTTATGTAACAAGGTGGAGACATCACCTTCTAAACAAATTCTGACTCTTGCAAAACTTTAAAGCAATGTTGCAATTTAGGAAAGATTGATTCCTGCCCCAGCTCCCCCACCCTACCCCACCCTTGATGGGACAGAGCTATGGGTTTTTATTTATGTCTGAAATAAGCCTAAGAGAAGGAATTGAGTTTAGCAGTTGGCCATCCTTTGCTAACATCAAGGTCAATAGTCTCATCTTTTGCTGTTTTCAAATGTAGATATATATAGAATCTAGGGTAGAAACTCCTCCAAAACCTTGTAGTATTCTTTCTTAGCGTTTGGAGAGAGGATAAAAACATACCTATATTAAAGATGTTCTGCTGTGATCACAGCTCTGGACTTTGGGTTGTGACATTAAACATTTATTGGGCACCTAGTATTGTGCTTTGTATTAAGTACTCTTAAGTGCTCTACAAAAATCTAACTTTTTTTTAATGCCAGTTTTATCTGTTGTGTATGTTTCTTGGAGAGACACACATAGAAAACAAGTCATTTGGTGCTCTGGCTTTAATTCATTTTAAATGGACAATGTTCAGGACTGGAAATAAAGTTTTGTTCTACTTAAAGACTATTTAAAAATAGAATAAACTAGAATAGTGAGTTTTACTTTTTAAATTTTAATCAAGCATTCTGTAGAAAATAAGCAGCTTTTCCTTACGGTAAAAATTTTCCCTTAGACATGATAATAATCTGTGACAGTCAAAAATGGCTAAAGTCCTGTTTTCAAAAGATTAATATTTAAATTATATAGTGGAAATTGATGCTCACAGGGTCTATTTGTGGTTGACTGAAGTATTTTCTTTTTCTTTTCCTTATCCTCTTTGCTTTGGGGTCGGGGAGAGACTGATGGTGCTCTCCTTCTCTAGTCATTTGTTGTACCCCGTCTGCCTCATTGACAGCCTTTTGAGGAAATGCATTTTTTCTGACTCATTATTAGGAAGGAGTCTGTTAATGCTTTAGGGGAAGCCTAGACTCTAGTTTAGACCTAGGAACACTTCAGTTTCCCTTTGTGAACTAAGGTACTGTTCCCTATAGGTGTGAAGAGAAAGTAGGAAAAATCACCTAGAGCACTGAGCCATGTTGCCAATCACGAACCTATCCAGAACTTAGCTGTACTTTGAGCTTTTAGTAATGCAGAAGAGGAATAATATTTGGGAACTTTGCAGAGAAACTCCTAACTTAATCCTTTTTTCCTCTATCCTTCCTTATCTACTTTGAATTAACATCTGACTGAATGCTCTTTGCAGGTCCTTCCTCTCAGGGTATATGATATGCCCTTGCCTTCAAGTTTAGGAACAAAGCCTGAAAGAAACAAAAAGTTAACAATAAAAGATTTAAGTAATTATTAAAGCAACAAATCACCATTAACTATTTAGATTAAATTACAAATTAGCTTTGCAATTTAGAAGTGATAGTTACTTTGGTAGAGCAGTGATCAGAAGAGGGGTTTGTTTTCACAAGTGAGGAAGAGTTAAGGTTTGATTTTTGAAAATGGACATATGGAGGTGACCTGTGATTGATAGCATAGTATAACTAAAGCATAAAAAAGCTTAACGTCTTTGTGGGGAATAATGAGGAGATCTTTTTTACTGGATCAGAGACTTTTTAGGTAATAAGACTAAAAAATATGTCAAGTCAGCTTGTGATATTTCAGTTTTGAATGCCGTTTGGACTTTAGTCTCTCTGTTCTTTTAGATGTTGAAGAATTTTGAGCATCGTGAATGATACAGTTAAGTTTAAATAGTGTGGAAATAATATTTTGGTGTGGAGTGTAGGGAAAGAAATAATATTTCAGTGGCATATAGGAACAGAGTAGTTACATGTATGATATATGTGTAGTGCTGAATTACTATGACATTGGTGGAAATTGGGAAAAAATTGATGACAAGAAAAACTTCGAAGAAAGATTTGAAAAAAAAAAGAAAAGAAAGATTTGGCGGATTCCTGATTGGCCACAGAGTTGCGCTGTCTAGTACAGTAACACTAAGCTACATGAAACTAAAAATGCTGAACCTCAGTGATGCCAGCCAGTACTCAGTAGTCACATGTTGCTTGAGGCAACTGTGTTAATGTAGATGTATAACATTTGTATTGTCACAGGGAGTTCTGTTGGGCGGTGCTGCTACAGAAAGCTGAGTCAAGGAAACCATGCTTAACCTTTATGTGAAATTTGAATACATATGAATTTACTTTTGTCTATTTTTTCTGTATTCCTTTTGAAGATGCTTAGGAAAAAGAGGCAACAGAGTATTATTAAAGAGAAGTAAATAGTAGAACAGGAATAGAGATTTTAAAGTCTTGGGAATGGGAAAGGAATCTGAAGTGTCGATGAAAGTAACCAATAACCATTCTATAGATAGGAGAAATGAGGTGAATTTTACTTGAGCCAAGCTGAGGACCATAACCTGGGAAGGAAGTCTCCACAAAGGAAGAAAGGGTTCTGGAGAAGCATGGTTTTCAGTACTGTTTTATACCTTTTTAGAACAGAGAATGTACATCAAACAGGCCCGGGATGCATATTCATCAAAGTTTTAAAGAGATACTCAGTTGCAGATTAGCAAGTCGACATGCCCCTGTGTCTGGGAAAGGAAACTTATCTTCAGGAGTACTAATACTGGCATCATGGATACTGGTGCCCTAGAAAAGGAAGTATGTGTCCTTATCTTCAAAGAGTGCATTCTTTTACGTTGAGATAATGTTTAATGCATTCTTTAATTATTAGAGCAGATGTACAATGTATGTTTGATAGGCAGTAAGTCAGGCTTCTTTAGTTCAGGCCAAATCAGATTTAAACCAGAATAGCTACCCCATATACCTCAATATGTGAAAATTTCTTATCAGAAGCAAAGTACCTTTGACCCTTAGAACTGTACTCTGGCATCACTGGGTAATAGGGAGCAGGTATATTTGTAGGAGGGACTCAGCACCAGGTTAGAGAATTTGGTCTGAGTTTCATTGAGTTTCTCTGCTTAAAGGTAAGGCTATAATATACCCTGTGTTAGGAAATAGTCTTTAGAAACAGGTAGGAATTTGTTACATAAAAATTACCTAAAATTTTAAATCTTAAGCATCCAGGTTTTTGTTTCTCTGCTCCCTGACCCTGATTTTTAATTTTTCTACTTCATTGTGTCTTTAAGACTTACAGTATTGTAGTATATAAATATAGGATGGGAGCAGTGCTTCCGAACTTATTCAGAGGGTAATTTTGCTTTGGCATGGGGGGGAGCCATATAGTGGAGGAAAAATGCCTTATGAATGAATGTTACATGCAACAAATTTTTACTTTTTTTAAAAAAAAGTTCATAGACTCTGAGGAGGGAGAACCTGTAACATATCTAATGGCAGATAAAACTTCTCCAATCTGTTCTTTCTCTCCTTTTCCCTATTCTAGAAATGGTACCACCATCTACTCATTTCCCCCAAACCAAAAACTTCAGAATAATCCTTCAGCTTTCTTTTACGTGCATTCCTTATACTCAATCCATTAGTAAGTTTCACCTTCAAAATAGATTCCAAATTCTCCCACTTTGGTCGTGTCCACTGCTAC